GGCCCAGGTGGTCCGCAGCCCTTTATGGCGCATCGACTTACCGGTGCCCCTGCCTGGGACCTGCCGCCGCAAAACACATCATCACAAACATTCACAGGTATTTGTTTTGTTGCTTGTGTCAAATGCTTAATTGTACTGATGACCAATAATGTTCCACCCAGGCCGATGCCGTCTATTTGTTGCCAATCTTCCAAACAATGTCACCGAGGACTCGCTGCGAAAGCTCTTTTCCGAGTTTGGCCAGCTCTCTGAAGTGTACATCGGCAAAGGCAACCAGTTTGCCTTCATCAAGATGGACACGCGTCAGAATGCCGAGGCGGCGAAGAACAGCCTCGATGGGCGAAACGTCGAAGGGCGAACTCTGCGCGTCCGCCTGGCCGCTCACGCTGCCGCCATAAAGGTGACTAACCTGCCGCCGGCGGTCAGCAATGAGCTGCTGCACCTGGCATTTAGCACCTTCGGTCCGGTGGAGCGGGCGGTGGTGATCGCCGACGACCGCGGTCGTTCCATCAACGAGGGCATCGTCGAGTTTGTGCGCAAGTCCTCCGCCCAGGCGGCGATTAAGAAATCTCAAACGGAGTGTCTCCTCCTCTCGGGCACGCCGATGCCCGTCGTGGCGACCTCCCTGGAGTCTCGCGACGAGGAGGAGGGCGTCCCGGAGAAGAGCGTCATTCATACGCTAGAGTACCGCCAGGAACGGGAGTTTGGCCCTCGCTTTGCCGAGCCCGGCACGGTGGAGTACGAGGTGGCGAAGAAGTGGAAGCAGCTGACGCTGATTGAGGCGCAGCGCCGGGAGGCCTTCGAGCAAGAGATGCGCGACATGCACGAGAACTTCAAGAACCAGATGGAGTACATCAAGATCGAGGAGACGATGAAGCAGCTGCGCGAACAGCTCCGCCAAATGGAGGGCCAGTCGCAGAAGATGAACAGCGAACGGGAGACGCGGTACGACGTGGAGCGCCAGCGCGAGGAGGAACGTCGCGCCCACGAGGGCATGCTCCGTCAGCAGGAGGAGCAGCTCATTGGGCAGCACCCGAACACCGGCCAGGCGGACCTGGTCACGCTCCGGCGCCAGGAGAATGAGCTCAGGCAGAAGGCCAATGCACTGCAGCAGATTCTCGACCGACAGGAGAACTCGCTGAGAGGCGGTGGTGGCGGCGGCATCGGTGGAGGTGCTGGTGGTCCGGGAGGGCCGCCCGTGGGCCACCCCAGTGGGCCTCCGCATGAGGTAAGTGAATGAATGGTGGTTTATGAATAGGGAGGTTAAAGCTCTAACCATTTACTATCACCTTCACCAGATGCAGATGAATCCCTACGCGGGACCACAGCCACCGATGGGCGGCGGCTACGGCNCGGTGGTGGCGGCGGCATCGGTGGAGGTGCTGGTGGTCCGGGAGGGCCGCCCGTGGGCCACCCCAGTGGGCCTCCGCATGAGGTAAGTGAATGAATGGTGGTTTATGAATAGGGAGGTTAAAGCTCTAACCATTTACTATCACCTTCACCAGATGCAGATGAATCCCTACGCGGGACCACAGCCACCGATGGGCGGCGGCTACGGCCCGCCCGGACCGCACCATCAGCCACCGCACGGCGGCATGATTGGCCCCATGAATCCCTATGGACCGCCCGCTGGTGGGCCGCCGCCGGGCATGCACGGGGCGCCACAGCAGGGGCCACCACCGCAGATTGGCCCACACCATCCGCATCAGATGCACCAGCCGCCGGCACACCCTGGCTACGGACAGCCCTACGGTAATGGCGGCCCAATGGGACACATGCCCCCGAACAATATGCCACCGCAGGGATACGCCTCGCCGGTGATGAACCACGGCGGCCCACCGCCCGGCAGTTATGGCAGCGGCGGTGGAGGAGGCGGTGGTGGAGGGGGCGGAGGCGGAGGCGGCGGATTACCCAAGCGAAACCGACGGTTCTAATCTCCTGATTTGACTGACTGCGAGGAGGTGGTATTACCCATTCTCTCTCTTTCTCTCTCTCCCTACTATTCAGCTCTTCGTTCAGCCGTACTGTACTCAACCTCTTCTTCCTTTTTTGCTTGCATGTGTGACCATGATTCTACTATTCTATTTTAAAGCGATAATATTTCGTAGCACCCACTTGCGGACTTTTGCCTCTTGACTCTTCTTGTGTGTCTCACTCCATCACATCCATCCCTTTCCTCTCTTTTGCATCCATACACACACACACCCTCTGGTTTGCCCATGGTTTCATTCTCTCTCTCTCTCTCTTCCTCAGCCTATCAACAACAACAACCACCACCACGATTTCACCTCTTCTTCGTCTTTTAGCTCTANACACACACTGGTTTGCCCATGGTTTCATTCTCTCTCTTCCTCAGCCTATCAACAACAACCACCACCACGATTTCACCTCTTCTTCGTCTTTTAGCTCTACTGAATGAACGTATTTTCACTCCAACACCACTACTCTACACTACTACTGTTCTACAAACAACAACCTCCTCCTCCTTCTCTTCCTATCACTCGTGCTACATTTCACACAGTTTATATGATGGTTTCATTATTCAATCTTCCCAAGGCTTCATGACACACACACCAACACCACTTCAATTTATATATTCTTAATAACAATAAAAATTTATATAGTGAACCTAGTTGTGTAAGCAGATTAGTGTTTTTGGTAAGAAAGGAGAGAGAGAAAGGTGTTCTTCAGCATCATTATTTAGAAGTGTAGTACCCTAGTTGAGTTCATCACGGCTTGCCGGGCTGCTGCTTCACCACCAGCTCCGGCCAGTGACTTCTGCCGTTGGCCTTCTGCAGGACTATCTGCACGTTGGAGGGATTGAGGATCACCTTGCAGCTGTCGTTGAGATTGATGTAATCGAAGAGGTGCCACTGCTTCTCGAAGATGGTAATGCCCTGGGCGTTCACCAGTCGAACAAACAACTTGCGGCCACCGACCAGCTTCACCTGGCACTTATCCTCCACGTAGCGAGCACCCTTCAGGCCGTAGAGGGCAATGGTCAGCGTCGGTCCGGTCTGGAACCAGTTCTCCTTGTAGTCGATCTTCACCATCAGCTGGTGACGGTCGGCCTGGGCACAGGGCGGCAGCTTCTGGAACTCCTCAAACTCGGTGAACTTCTTGTGCGGACAGCAGCTCCAGAATTTGAGTGAGTCGTGGAAACTAAGGCGTTTGACGAGGATGTGAATTAGAGAAACAATGTTTTAAATGATCACAGACAAAAGCAGCACTTACACTTGCACTCCTCGGTGGTAGAAGCACTGAGAGAGGGGCACCAGAGACGACTCTTCGGCCTTGCAGTTCTTGCAAATGACGATGTTCTTCACCGGAGGCGCCGAGGCGAGATTCGCCGACTCGACCACTTTGATGTTCTGCACTAGGCTCTCATCAGGCGGCACGAACGGACGCTCCGGTTCTTGCTCCTCTTTTGGAGACTCGCTGGAAACGGGTGAAGGCACATCTGTCGGAGCCGGCTCAGGTTTGGGCTTTTCCGGCTGGACGTTGCTATGGCGGCCCTTGGTGCCTAGAGGTAAACAAGTGCTTTTGTTATTCTGATAATGCTTTAAAAAAGATATCTCCACTTACAGCCCTTGAAGCCCATGAAGATGGTAAAGTCACGGGACTTCATCTTGCAGCAAGTCCACTCCTTGTAGCCGTCGTGGAAGTACGGCTTTCCCTGGTGGTAGGTGCAGGCATCATCGCCGTTGTCCACCTCGCGAAACTGGGCGCCACAGCTGGTGTTGAAGCACTGAAGCAGGTCGCCGGCTGAAGCCGATTCAGTGTTGTTGTCTCCGCCACTTGAAGCTGCAGGTGAAGGCATGTTCTCCACTTGGGCTGTGCTCATATCAAGTAAGTAGATAGTTTTTGGCAAAAAGTAGGATGAAGAATGAGAAGATGTGAAAGATTTGAAAGAGATGAACTGATTGCTCACTTCAAGCTCGGAAGAATGAAACAGAAAAACAGCTGTAGCGGCGAAACATCGAGAAAACACACGAGGTGGCCTGCAAGCAGTTTGCGCGCTCGCTACCAGGTGACGCCTTATGTTCAGACAATTTTCAAAAAAATATTTTCTTTTGAAGAATCTCCATC